ATGTGTTATCACTGAAATTTCATGCAACCAGATACTTTCTGCTGCTGCTGCTATAAACAACTGTAATAATTTGACTTGATTGCTATGCATACTGCTATTAATAATTCGCTAATAACGCAATCTGAATTCTATGATACTGCTGCTATACTCCTTGAAAGTACTATAATTGCTGTAAGCCCAACTGAATACACAAATAGTAAATTCCAGTTTAAGAGTGTCCTACTATTAGCTACATTGTACATGGGCTACTGATTGGAAATAATTTATTATTAGAAGTAATTTTATATTTTAAATGAATTCAAGATTAATTATCTTTAAACTATCACTAAACATGACTTTCATAATAAACTCTTCACTATCGCTGAACCAAGGTAACGAGTGAAATAGAGATGTGGCCCCTTTAAGAATGAGCGCTCCCTCTTCTGAACTGCATTGCAATGCGCACAAGTACACGTATGAGCGGGTATATTATTTTCTGTTGCTCATTAAGTTGTTATGGTTAAATAGGTAAGGCTGTTGACAGCATGACGTTTATGAAAGACAGTTATACGGGTTCACCTTCACTTAAAACAGTGAACAACTGTGAAACGCCAACTGCAAACTGACCCCACTAGTGAGGTGTACATCTGAAAGCGATCCGTTCACGGTTAATGTAGAAATGAATGCCCACAGAAGATACCAAAATCATTGGAGATTTCGGGCAAATAAGGTAATCCCCAATTCACTTTACTGTTCTAAATCTGCAATGCTTGACATTGTATTCTCACATACATGAACTAGAAAACTGCTTGCTGCTGCTGCTAATGCTACTGCTGTTATATGAACAAGGCATGCTTAGTAATTATTCCTCTCGCAAATAACTCGCGTGTAGTTTTATAACTTGTATGTTTTCTAGTTCAAAAATGTAAATCTGACGAACGCAATAATGCACTGAAATCAGAGTGAAGACCATTTACTTATCTAGCTGTTGAGTTTCAGAGAAACTCTGAAAGCACGCTGCAAGAATCTCAAGTGAATGCTAGCCAGCCATATAAATGCAAGGCAGTAGTTCATTGGCTGCATATGCAGCATGAACCAATCAGCTTGTGCCAAGTCATTTAACTCTCTGAATATCATCTGTTACGTTAACAACCTGTCAGCCTGCGCCATTTAGAGTTTCATGACTGAACTATATATTTATGATGTACAGCACGTCAAACTTTTTACTAATTGATGATAGTTAATTATAAGAAAAAAGTCAAAATTGAGGTTACAAAGTCATAATTATGAGACAAAGTCAAATGTGAGATAATTTGTACTTTTTATGATAAAGTCAAATTTATGGAAGTTATAATTATGACGAAAAAAAACTAAATTATGACACAAAAAGTCAATTATGGGTTAAGTCATTATGTCATTTGACTTTTTATTTCATAATTTTGACTTTTTATCTCATAATCACAGCTTTTCAATCTCACAAATATCATTCACCAATTTTTTTTTCTTATGTAGCAGAAACAGGTTTCCGAAGTTGCTACCCAAGACAGACTACCAAGTGAAATCTGTAAGTGACTTACTGTAAAGACCACTTTCAGACTGTTGAGCATCTCAATGTCCTTCGGCAAACCTTTATCTCCCCATCGGACCAAATAATTCTCACTGCAGAGAGACAGAGACAGTGTGTGTAATAATGGCAAACTCCTCTAGACTGATCATTAAAGAGTGTGTCAGTGAGACGCACCTGATGTTGGTCTGCTTGATGGGGTCGTATAAAGACATGAAGAGCTCCGAATCCTCACCGATACGACACACAAAGTTACGCACAAAAACATACAAGCTGTGTGTGGGAGAAGACTGGATCCGTGCGGATACGCCAGAATGATCCAGCTGAACGTTGGACTACACAGAGCAGAGCAGAAGAGACAGGAGTTGATGTTAAACAGAGTTTAAATTCACAGAAATAAACCTGACTGGCGTTAACCTGTGAAAAACTCACAACCACCATACTAGAGTCTTATTTAGCACTTGCTGGGTGGCTAATGTGTTGCTAAGGGCATTGCTAAATGGTTGAGAGGGAATCGGGGTGGTTCCTATGGCATTATAATGCAGTTGCTAGGCTATTCTGAGTGTTTGCTGTGGTACATTATGGTGGTACATATTACTAGGTGCCAAAGTGTTGCCAAATGGTTTCTAGGGTGTTTTTTAAGGTGTCTGGGTGGCTGTTGTGGTATAATATGTAGTTGCTAGAGAGTCTGGGTGATTGCTAGGGTGTTCTGGATGGTTGTCAAGGTGTTGTCAAGTAGTTTCTAGAATGTCTAAGTGGTTGCTGGGGAGTGTGGGTAATTGTTAAGGTGTACTGGGTGGTTGCCAAGGTGTTACCAAGTGGTTTCTAAGGCGTCTAGGTGGTTGCTGTGGTATATTATGCCATTGTTAGGGAGTCTGGGTGATTGCTAGGGTGTTCTGGATGGTTGCCAAGGTGTCGCCAAGTAGTTTCTAGGATGTCTAGGTGGTTGCTGGGGAGTGTGGGTAATTGTTAAGGTGTTCTCAGTGGTTGCCAAGGTGTTGCCAAGTAGTTTCTAAGCTGCCTGGGTGGTTGCTGTGGTATAATATGCAGTTTCTAGGGAGTTTGGGTGATTGCTAGGGTGTTCTGGATAGTTGTCAAGGTGTTGCCAAGTGGTTTCTGAGGTGCCTGGGTGGTTGCTGTGGTATAATACGCAGTTGCTAGGGAGTCTGGGTGATAGCTAGGGTGTTCTGGATAGTTCTCAAGGTGTTGTCAAGTGGTTTCTAAGGTGTCTGGCAGGTTGCTGTGGTATAATATACAGATTGCTAGGGTGTTCTGGATGGTTGCCAAGGTGTTGCCAAGTGGTTTCTATGATGTCTAGGTTGTTGCTGGGGAGTGTAGGTAATTGTTAAGGTGTTCTGAGTGGTTGCCAAGGTGTTACCAAGTGGATTCTAAAGTGTCTGGGTGGATGCTGTGGTATATTATGCAGTTACTAAGGAGCCTGGGTGATTGCTAGCGTTTTCTGGATGGTTGCCAAGGTGTAGCCAAGTGGTTTCTGGGTGGTTGCTAGGGAATTAATATGCGGTAGCTAGGGTGTCATGGTAGTCACTAGGATGGTCTGGCTTATGCAGCTGTTGGTTGTCTGGGCAGTTGCGGATGTGTTGCTATGTGGTTGCTAGGGTGTTTTGGGAGGTCGCTAGGGTACCTAGGTAATTGTGAAGGTGTTGCTAAGTGGTTTCTAGGGCATGTTATGAAGTTGGTAGGGGGTCTGGGTGGTTGCTAAGGCATAATTATGCAGTTGCAAAAGTGTCTGGGTGATTGCTAGGGTGTTCTGGATGGTTGCTAAGACATTATTATGCAGTTGGTAGGGTTTCTGGGTGGTTGTGAAGGCATTGCCCAGTGGTTGCTAGGATGTCTGGGTGGTTGCTAGAACATTATTATGCGATTGCTGCTACGGTTTCTAGGCGGTTGCTAGGTAATAATAATGCAGTTGCTAGTGTGTCCTGGTTGTCACTAGGATGTTTTGGATGGTTGCTAAGACACTATTATCCAGCTGTTATGTGTCTAGTTAATTGTGAAGGTGTTGCTAAGTGGTTGCTAGGCATATTGTGGAGTTGGTAGGGTGTCTGAGTGGTTACAAATTCATTGTTAAGTGGTTTCTAGGATGTCTGTGTGGTCGCTAGGACATTAATATGCAGCTGCTAGGGTACCTTGGTAGTTGCAAAGGTGTTGCTAAGTAGTTGCTAGGGAATTATTATGCAGTTGCTAGGGTGTTTGGGTGATTGTGAAGGAATTGCTGAGTGGTTGCTAGGGTGTCTGGGTGGTTGCTATGGCATTATTATGCAGTTTTGATGGGGGTTCTGACTAATGAATTATTTAAATGAAGTTCAGTTTAGTTTGATCCACCTCAGGTAAGGTCATTAAGTTACTGCAGTGGGGTTACAGGAGGATATTTAGTGTGAATTCACAGCAGAACCAGACCGAAGGAAGGTAAAGCCGTGGGAGTTCATTGATTTCATTTGTTCAGTCATCCTGAACATTTAAAAGTGTCTCATTAAAACTACAAACTCTCTCTCTGATTCCTGAACATGCGAGAAGCTCCTTGTGGTTTCATCTGCAAACCTTTAAATGAAAGTGAAATGAAAACCTGTTCCTCTTTAATGCGCTCTGTGATCTTGGCTGTAGCATCCTCGTGTGCTCGGAAGAGGCTGATAACACTCGCTCGCTCGGGGTCCAAGATATTCCCATCGGCATCCCGCACCACCACATCCAGCTCCAAGATCCTGGAGGCAGAATAACACGTAATTTAACTGCAGTTTGAGTGTTTGTACTCGCACACACACATGATTCACCTGAGAATTCAGTGCACACACACAGATCCTTGAAACAATCTGGCAGATGTGCTCTTGCCCGGAGCTCTTCTGGAGAAGCGAGAGTCCCATGATGCACCTCAGGCGTGACTTCCTACATTTCATTAAGGCTCATTCTTGCACATCACAGAAAGCAACATCCCAGCGAAAGCCCACAGCTAACATGGATTCACACATATTTTTTGCTGTTTTCACATGATCAAGAAGTAATCTGTCAGTATAATTAATTACTACACATTATTCTGTTATTTTAGCATAGTTTTTTGTTGAATATGTAATTGGCTTTCATTTTATTTTTTTATTTTTTATTTTAATTAGTTTTTTTTTTTTATTATTACTTAAATATTTTTATTCCAGTCTTAGTTTAATTATAGTTTGGATTTATTTTCAGTGAGTAATTTTATTTTAAACACATTTCAGTTTTTCATCTATATTTCACTTAGTTTTATGTTCTTCATCTGTATATTATTTCAGTTTTATTTCAATTAACAAAATGTTTTAGTGTTTAGTTAACAATCATAACCCTGACATATTATATTCAAAATATTCAAATGTTTGTATTTGTATCAAATGCTTGTATAATGTCACTATGCTTGTGTGATCACACTTAAAGTCATTTCTGCAATAATTTAGGTTATGATTTCAAAAATATTAGATAATTTTAGAAATTTCACAATTCTTGATTAATTAATTAAGTTGATATCACAGCAAAAAGTTATGCTAGCCTAACTAATTTAAGTTCTCAAGCTTAATACAATTAAACAGTCAGTAAAAAAAAAAAAAAAAAAGAAACTAATTACAAGAAATAGCACAAGAAAATACAACTACTGTACAATAACAAAAATTAAATCAAAAGTGATTTAAGTTAGACAGGTCTATCTATTAAAAAATAAAAAGTCAATATACTGACGGACATTTTCTTTCCCAGCTGTTTGCACTGAGGACACCAATATTGGATATATAACATTATCTTGAGAAAACAATGATTAACTTGTAATCATGTGAAAACAGAGCAAGAAATGTGAATCCATGACAAGTGGTTTGGGAGTTTTTTTCCCTCACATTAATTCATTAACATTCAGGTGGCAGAAAGACATTTTTATCCCCTTCAGGTTTGTTAATTAATTCTTTAATGATAATGTACAAATGCCAATTAACTAACCCATTAACTACAGCCTAGAGCGAATTACTTAAGCTCTGAAGAGGAATTACACCAGCCGACTGGATCATATTATTCTATGCTTCATCAGTTGTGTGTTTGTACAATGGTACAATGATGGTATCAGATGATAATACCATAGTACTGTATGATTACATTCATATATTATGATATAGGATATGAATGTATGCATGGTTTATATTACCATAGTCAAAAATGCACACAGACAGGAACACAAGTGGAATAGACACATGAAATACATACTTATTTCCATAGTCGATCTTTGAGGTGACTTTCTGTTTGAGCTCCTTAAACTCGTCACTCGGTAGCGTCCCGGACAGGAGCTGTGAACGCCACTCCATCAGATCCCACATGAGCCGCTGCACCTGACTGAAACGCTCCTTCTTACTGGACTGATGGAAACAAAGACAATCACTGATTGGTCAGAAGTTCAGGTTGTGCAAATTTAATGTACTTATAATTTTGCATGTTTGACATAATCGACACATCCAGCATTATGTGTTATCATCACATGACTTCATACCACAGTTTGTATAATTCTACATGACGTCCAGGTATCATGTATGAAATAAATACATTATATTTTAATAATATCATTAAATTATTTAATTTAATTTAATTTAATTTGTAATTTGATTTTGTTTAAAGGGGTCATATGATGCAATTTCAATTTTTCCTTTCTCTTTGGAATGTTACAAGCTCTTGGTGCATAAAGAAGATCTGTAAAGTTGCAAAGACTAAAGTCTCATATCCAAAGAGATATTCTTTATAAAAGTTAAGAGTCAGCCACGCCAAAAATCGATGCGTTTCAGAAAGGTGGGGCATAGAGGAGAAACAATAATGTACAGTATGTGGAAAATAATGTGTTTTTTTTTTACCTTAAACCGCATAAACACATTTCATTACACCAAATACACCAAATAATGTTCTTTTTAGCAGCATCATATGACCCCTTTAAAAATGTTTTACCGTTTGTCAGTGATCAAATGAAAAGGCATTCACAGCCCATTTACTTTCATAATGCAGTTTTTATTTGGATGTATTACTTTTTTTTTCAATTTTGAGGTCAGCTAAAGAGAAAAGTTATTTCTTTTTTGCAACATAGCAAATTATATATAAAATTATTTGGTGACAGATATTACAGAACAAAGTAATACTAAACCGTAAAAAACTAAACAAAAGATTTATATTATATTATATAAGCAGGGTGCGATTTGTGAAAAAAGCAGAAGGGGGGATGCTTTTGAAAACTTTTTTCTCTTTCCATAGGTGGAAGGTAAGGGTAAGGCTGTAGCCTAAGTAACCTAATGTTAGTGTAATCTGTTAATAACGCACATCATAAACCCGTCTTTTTAAGCAAGTACCATATAATGGGTGTCATGTCATGAAATGTTTTTAATACGACAGGAACTGTATTTAACGTGATCACAAACTATTAAAACATTGTAAGTTAGGCCTATTAATTGTAATGATTTCATTTCCACGGTTATTCAAGCAACGAACAAATTATACAGAGAAAGCGAGCAAAGAAAACAGTGTCAATGGAGCTTTCGAAGCGCTCCAATCGGATTGCGTATCGCGAATAATTTGATTCAGAACGGGACTTCAAAGCGCGTATCGCAAATCATTTGAGTTAGATCGGGACCTTGGAGCGAGATCGCGGGGTGTTTTTATCCCCACCGGAGATAAAAATAATTCAGCAGAGGCAGGGATGCATAAACCAGAGGAGGGGAAATCGCCCCCCCATCACCCCTGGCAAATCGCACCCTGTATATAAGATATATTTATATATAAGGGATCTAATATATATTCTAATATATATATCAGGGGTGTTTCCTCTAAGAAAGCAAGGGAGGCAGTGCCTCCAGTTTTTCTAAAGAAACATTGTCCAACAGCAACACCAGCTGGTAAAGTTACAGCAGGAGTTCACGTCTCTCTCGCCTCCCCTGAGCCCATTGAATTTTAACTGACCCCCTAAAGCGTGCCGTGAGTTTGGTGGGGTGTAATTGAGAATGAATGGGGGAAAGTCACGTGAGAGGAGGCAATATGATATGACTGGTTATGTTCAGCTGTGATTGGTCCATAATTCCCGCCTCTTGTGTTCATGTGTGCTCCGCATTTGCGAATCAGTCTGTATGAACAATATAATGGCATTAATGGGAAGACTAATTTAAAAAAGTAAACAACTCACACACTTTGATATAACCACTTTGTTACATCAAAATATGACTTAAAATGGCATGAAAACATGATCCGTGGGAGTTTTTAGTGAGTAATCAGCTCGGTGAAATTCAAAGTAAATCTCCTTGTCTGTGACCAATATTTACAGAGCTTTGATGACTGATGACCCGAAAAATGAATTAACAGTTAACTATTAAAAAGAATAGCTGACCATAAGTTCACAAATAAAATATATTGCTTAAATTGTTACTGCCTTAGTGATGAGATTCATATTTGGCTTTAATAAATAGAACATTGATTACATTATTAATGTAAAAATATAAAGTAGAATTGTTTTTTAATTCTTTCTTTTTTTTTCTTTTTCTGATAGTGTATAAGTAATGTTTATTTAACCATGAAAATGTGACTGGGGCATGAATTGTGTCTGGGACATGAATTAACATTTATTATTGTTAATAAGTTATTATTATTGGTATTGTTACACTTAATTTATATTTTTAGAACTGCAGAAAGTTTTCTAAAAATAGACCAGGAAGTAAACTTTGTTACTTCTGATTTAATTTTGACTTTAAAAGTCATGGCTGTTGTCACTTCATATCACACAGAGAACGGAAGGTCACTTTGTGGGACATTGTATGTCACGTACTGTAAAGTGCTTCAAATGTGCTTTACACTGCACATTCTGTCAGGTCACGCAATACAGAAAACTCCCATACTGAGCACAGTATGCATACTACAAATATAATATCACTACACTCTTAACTCAGTGTACACTCTTAACTACACTCACTTACAAATAAAGGATCGAAAAGGAGGTTTTATCCATTTTTGGTTCCCCAAAGAACCTTTCAGTGAGCAGCTCATAAAAGAACCATTTATTTCTCAGTGTAAAGAACATTTAAAAAATCTATAGGACCTTTTGTGGAAAGGAACGATTCTATAGATGTTAAAGGTTTTTCACGGAACCACTGATCCTAATAAAGAACCTTTATTTTTAAGTGTAGTACAGTATCCCACCCACATCTAAGCGTCTCACCACATAGAGCTGTTTCCAGATGCTGCCCCATTCTCTCAGTGTGGTGGTCACCTCCTTCACCAGCGGCATCTCAGCAGATGTTATGATCTCCTCATCTCTACAGGAGCAGACAGACAGAGGGTCAGAGGATGGACGGATGGATGGACTGACTGATGAACAGAAGGACATACTCACCCTCTCTTTTCGACGATGACTTCCTTCAACACTATAAAGCTTGCAGGAAATGCTCCCTTAAATATGGAACAAAGTAAATCAGCAAACACGTAGCAGAGGTCCAGGTCAGATATTCAGGAATAAAACATTATGCTCTTGTAGAAACACCATAAACTAAACACCCGTTTACTTACTTTTCTCTCTTTGTTCTTGATCACGTAACCTTTATACCATCCTGAAACAAGAACAGACTGGTTTAGACTATGAAAATATTTCTGTTGCTCAAACATTATGTAAAATTATTTTTTTGTGTGTTTTTGTCTTGTTTTACAGTACAAATATCAATAAATTCTTAAATCAAGATACATTTACTTACAAATGACTTTAAGATATCAAGTCTTGCTTTCTGAAGAAAGTGATTAAAATTCTATGAGTTTATGCTTAAAACAAGAAGAAATAATTGTCAGTGGGGTCAGAAACAAGATTGTTTTTGAATTAAGACCCCACTGGCAGATACTTTTCCTGTTTCAAGCATAAATTCATTCTCTGAAGACTTCATGGTTGCAAAACAATAACCTAAAAATAACCATTAGGGAACGTTCTGTTTAAGTTATTTTTTAGGTTATTTAAAAATAACCTCCCTGCAACGTTCTTGGAACGTTATTTTATGGTTGCAAAAGTAAAACCTAAATGGAACATTCGTAAGGGCCAGTTGTTCAGAAGTAATCTGATCAGATTTCTGCTATTGGATTGGATCAAATCTTTAAAATGGGTTGTTCAAAAGAAAAACAGGATTCTGGCATCGGATTAGATCACAAAATCCAATCTTGGTTTTGATCTGGATCAAATCATCTTTTTAGTAAGATTGGGATACTTTTGTTTCAAAAAATCTCATCCCGGCAGAAGGGTGGATTATATTAAATTAAAAGTGTTTTTTTTTTATATCACTGTCTGTAAACTACATTACTACTACTACATCAGATAAACCAGTTAATAGTCATTTGTGAGCGAATGCAAAGTGTCTTGTGTCAATGCAATGCAAAACTTTTCTGAGAGAATGCAAAAGCATTGACATATTTTTTTCCAACTCATTTTTTTTTTCCATCACCATGTAAAAGATTAGGCGCCCCATAGAGCACTAGTAATCCATATTTGGTAATCTGAAAAATTGTGTATCTGGATCTTTGTGATCCAATCCAATTTTGCTTTGAAAAACCAGCAGAAAAGTAAGATGGATTACCTGATCCTGGATAGCAAAATATGGGATTTTCATTCTGATCCAGATTAAGCTTTTTGAGCTGGCCCTAAAATTATATTATTTGATTTTCAAAAAAACAAGCAAACGGGAACTAAATACTAAGGTTAGGGGGACGTTCTGTGTTTGCTGGGTTAATGTCACAATTTTGCTTCTCAAGTAAATATATCTTGATTTAACCCTCCTGTTGTGTTTAGACCAATTTGACTCATACTTGATTTTTCAACCTGCTCTATATTTCTCATTTAGGGTCTTGAATGTATGCAACATTTCGACTCATAGATGTGTTTTGGAAAGGCTGTACAAATTGTATTACAACTTTTGTGCTCAGGTCCTATTGACTCCCCATTAAAACCCATAAGTATGCAATTTGAAACCAACACCAAAGAGTAAATAAAATAAAATAAAATAAAATACAATTTTATTGTAGCTTGTCAATCACTAAAATATGAAATACATGAGAACATATGAAAATGAAGACAAAAAAAACTAAGACTCATCTTCTAAACCATCTAAAAAATCACTGTTTCTTCTAGCTCTATCTAGTTGAGTTTCACAGTCAAAAAAATCTGTCAAAGGTGGTCTTTGGTTGTTAGTTTTGTGGATCTCAGTTACTAGATTACATAAAATGGCAGAGGAAGTATAAATAGCAATACATACTATCTACACTAAATACAAAAAATGTTAGATACTATTTATACTTAGTTATTTGTTATTTAGTATTTAGCAGTTATTTAGCAGTTATTTGCACCTCAGTGTGCAAATAGTCACTACAAGTAGTCATGACAAAAAAAGTAAATTGTAAATGGATCATCAAATTGACCCCGCCCTAACACAAAAAATAAGATGGGAATTATTAAAGTTCTCACATATCTTATATTTTTTTTAGTCTCTGACAAGGTACAATACAGTGTTTTCTGTTTTTACATGAATCTTTAGTGTTTTTCATAGTGTCGATTTGCAGTGAAACCAACGTGGCTCAATTTCACCCCAAAAACAGAAACTGTAGCCAGTTTTTGAACAGCAGGGGGGTTTAAAATGTTTGGATATTTGCACTGGAAAACAAGACCAGAATACTGAGCAAGAAAATCTTCTTTTTTTTTTCAGTGTGGAACATGCATGGCGCAAGCAACACCAAGGTCACAGGTTTGATTCCCAGGGACCGCATTGAACTGATCGAATGTATACTTTGAACGCAACATACATTGCTGTATATAAAAGCCTTTACCTCAAGCATAATTGCAAAAGTAAGTGCAATATCCCAGAATCCCTCACCTTCACATGACTCCTGTATGTGCACAGTGTCCCCGATAACCAGGGACAACTGCTTCTCCGCTTTGGCAACGAAATTCCACTTAACTTCATAGAAAAGAGAGAAAATATCAATTGCATGAAATTCAACCAATGCATTTAAAAATGCACAAAAAGATTTCCCAAGTCACAGTTTGGATTTAATTTTTAAGTGATGTTTAGCAAAACAGCAGAATGAGATCATTTAATGCTTCCAAGAAGACATCAAACGATCTCTATCCTCAACTACTTGAAAAGAGTCCTGTGATTCATGTCTAGAGCACAAACGCTGCAGGACGACGCACACGCTGGATTTTAATACTTTAGCCAACATCAATGACTCTGAAAGTTAAACTGCATATTATGCAGAGATGGAGAACATCATATTATATACACACGCGCGCACACACACACACACACACACACAATTCATTTCTGCAAGTACGAGTTTGTTGGCCTACTTCCTCTCAGAGCAACTTCCTGTGCAACACCGCACACACAGATACCACCATCAGCATGTTTACAATTGAAATAATTCAAAAGCAATATACATGCATTTACATGATTTTATTTCAAGTTCATAATACGTTTTAGCATGTGCATATATATGCTTTATTTCTTTCAACATACATGCTGTGAGCTACAAACCTGCTGACTACGCCGCCTACAATCAGAAGTCAAACCACTTTTGCATTCATTTCAAAACTGAATATAAAAAAAAAAAAAAAATTCTGTGAATACTACATTGACAAATAACTCTAAATAAAGTTACTCTAATCAGTTTCACCATTTCACGCTCATACTGCTCTTAATGGACACTTTACATATAAACTAGACTATTAGCTTCTGTTGATTAAAAGAGATTTCAATGGGATTTGCATTAAATATTTCTTCCCAAAGGTTGTTATTTGGTCATGGCTGAAAAACTAAATGGAGTTCTCACATATATTTAATTTAAGGATCAACTTTGTCTCAGATGTTTCCCTTATTCCTAAAATAACGCAAATGAGTGTTATTTTAGTATCACTGAGAAACTATTACAGATTTAAGTATTTTGAATTCGTTTTTATTTTTATATTTTCTGTCTTTATTTTATTGTTTGTTTTCAACATATCTATATAGTTTTTATTAACAATCATCAACTTAAAAAGAGATATGTTGCTTTGTAACTGAAATAAAACAAGTTTAAGTTTTTTTTTAGTTTTTTTTTTCAGTTAATGTTTATTTTATTTCAAGTAACAGAAATGTTTATTATGGTTTTAGTTTATTTTCATTCTTGTTTTAGTTTTGTTGTTGTTTTGTTTTTGTACACAAACTAAAAGAAAATGAGAAATGTTGCTAACTGAAATAAAATAAGCTTAAGATTTTAATGTTTTATTTCAGTTAATGTTTATTTTATGTTTTAGTTAACTATAATAAACCTGACATAAATGAGTCATAGTTTTCAGTAAGAGTACAGAGCTATAAAATGATTGTGAATAGCAGCTCAGATCATTTGATGAGAAATATTGAGTTCACATGGAGATCTCTGACTTTTGCTTGCTAACTTTGGTATCCTGAGCAAATATGAGCTCATTTAGAGCTCTAGAGGAGATTCCTGGTCTCTTTTCTCAGGAGAAACATCTGACTTCTCACTACTGTCTAAAAGAAACATTCAAGATGATAAAGATCTTGCTTGTGCATTTATTTCACGGAGGTCTTCTCTAAAAATTCAGTCCTGCTCTTCTGTTATTAAATGATGCCAAACCTTAAAGCACCTTCATTCAGCAAACAGGCTAAAGAAGCGAATCCTCTGCGCTGTAAAAAGTTAAAATGTGCAGAAGTTCCCTTATGAAGTTATTTCAGTTTGCTTCAGTTGCATTAAATGATATTTTTGATTTTAATAAACCAAAAGAAGCACATTTTTACAATGCATTTCAAGCTCTAAGTAAGAAGCTGTCCTAGGGTTCAGGTCTCAGTTTGTTGTTGCACTATATCAGTATTGCATTAACTGCACCGTCATAGTGTCATAAAACTAAAATCTGCAGATTTTCAAAGCAAAACAAGTGTAAAATGAGAAAATGCCGCAATCTGTTTAGTCCAGTGACCGTTGGGCCGCTTGACTGATCTGTCTCTGCCCACATCCTGAGATACAGGAACTGAATCAAACAACTTTATATGCCCGCTGCGAAGGCCGCTAGGGATACAAACACACAAACGCACACACAACTTCGCAGAGAACGTTCAAAATGCACAGGTGAATCACTTGCGCACACACACACAAAAACAGCAAAACTCACCAACTCCATATCTTTCAGAGATAGTTTTTGTCCAAGGAGCCATTGGTTGGACTATACAACGCTCTCCCCTATGGCTCTCTCTGTCTGTATTTTCTCTTTCAGAGTATCTCAGTTCCTTTCTTATGCCCTACACTGACTGCTTTTTGGGTGAGGGTGTGAGAAATAACCAGAGAAATAAGCGCTCCTCCTCCTGTCTGACTGTCTGCTTCTTCCTCTTCCTCTTTTGGCCTCCACATTTAACCGGCTGACAGCAGAACTTCAGCACGATGACTAAAGCGTGTTTCAATGGCTTTTATTGATTAACGTCTTGAGATCATGTATGTTTTTGGTGTCAAACTCCACTCTGATCTATGAGGATGTGTGATGGTGCACGCAAATCATCATTTATGAATCTGTAATGCTGGAGGAAACATGGTGTGGGACGAGACAAAGCAGAGATTCCCTGAAGATGTTTGATTTATGCATCCGAGAGACTTAATACGAGCAGGTTTATACAAACACACAAACAAGCTGTTCTATAGTCATAAACCACCAAAATAATGTTAATCTTCAAAAGCAATTCCTACTGCAAACAATAGAGGGCACCGCAAACACTCACTTAGAGATAATACGACTTGATCATGCAGCATATTGAGTAGACATGATCATGCTTATGAATTTGACCTTGAAGCTGTATTTTTAAAAACTGGATATTTGCAGTCAAATAATTCAGAACAAAAAATTTGCTGTTTGAAAATACATGTCTATAAAACTCTGCTATAAAAAATTCAGTTGTGTTAAATTTCAAATGTTCAATATTCAAGTTTAAAAAAATCTAATTTAAAACTATGTTAAATGCCACATAATATTCAGTTCTGATAAATGCACTTGTCAATAATTCAAATTTATACAATACAAATTCAAATAGTCTTAAAGAAAAGGATATTAAAGAGACTTGAGGGTGGATTCTATTCACTTGGACCACAAAGCAATCACCTAGAAACCATCCAGAACACCCTAGCAACCACTCATATGGGGAATCATCAAAGAATACCAGCATTTATACATGCGAACGCTGCAGGTCCAATGCTAAAAACAGCTGGAGGCCATTAAACGCTCCACTTTATGTTTTCTTACTGTGGTCCATGCAAAAAAACAGGACAGTATCCCACAGAAATAAATACAGCCTTTTGTTGAAGCACAAAGCACCTCTTGATACGTTGTTGTGAAAACCTGGCAACCCTTTCCGTAAAGCAGGTAATGTTATTATTGCTAACATAGCGACTCATCGAAAAATACATTGGCAACATCTGTATTAAAGGGAAAATAATCACTTCATCCGACGTTTAAGTGAATAAAATAGCCCTGACAGCCTTACTTACTGGAGTTCCACAACTATTGACTTTGTTCTCTCTCACCGGACTTGTGTATGTGTGATGTAAAAGAGGAAAACAGGCATTTGGACCAAAGCACTGTGAAGCAAGGGAGGGGGAGACTCAAAATGTTCCTAAACTTAGAACGCATTTTTGCCCCGTTTGTGTTTGTGTTGTTTTACTACTTACAAAATTATTTAAAGTATAAAACATTTGAATTTACAATATACAGCATGGTTTTTAATCATATTTTTAGGGGGGGACAACCCTCAGATAGGGGGGGTCCTGTTTTTATTACAAAGATAATATAGATTACAATATATATATTATAGTGCTGTCAAATTAGCGCGTTAACGCAGGCGATTAATTTTTTCTGTTTAACGCGTTAAAAATATTTAACGCAATTTATGCAGGGGCGGAGCTAGGGTTGGTCTCTTTTTTGTTTCCTGTCAAGAAGTGCATTTATTCAGTCGCCGAACGTCTTTACGACCACATCAAATGGTAGACGTTTCTATGGAAGCCCATTTCCGCCACTGAATAAAAATTTAAAAAGGTAATTGCGACTTTTTTTCTCAGAATTGTGAGATATTAACTCGCAATTGCGAGTTAGGAAGTCAGAATTGTGAGATATAAAGTCGCAATTACCTTTTTAATTTTTTATTCAGTGGCGGAAACGGGCTTCCATAGAAACGTCTACCATTTGATGTGGTCGTAAAGACGTTCACAAACTCGCAATTCTGAGAAATAAACTCACAATTGTGAGATATAAAGTCAGAATTGTTCCTCAATCTCTCCATACAATGGTCGAGACATGTGGGGCGGCTCGCTGTTTCCATCATAAGGTTTAAGTTTGCTTTGAGGAGGTCTTAGGTTTTTGAACCATTCATCATTACTGCTGGTGGGGTTACTGGCTCAAGCTGGAAGGTTCAGTATTCCTGACCGGCCATAATCTCTTTTGGGTTTGGGTTTCTCAGAAGAACGGGCTGCCAAATCATCAAATCCATTCGACTTTCCATGATCGGCTTCATCATCACTGTCTTCCTCCTTCATTTTTTCTTCTTGTATAACGTACTGCGCTTGTTGTCCTCAGCAATCTTCTTCACCTCATTGGATGCCATCTTGTCCAGCATGTCAGACTTGATTTCTTTCTCCATAGTGTCCAGTTTGTGAAGGTTCACCTGGTCCTGGTTGTAGTAATCTTGCTTCAACGTGAGCCTAACCCAGACACTGAGGAGAGGTTGGATGCTCCTCCAGCAGAAAGCATGGACTCGGCCCTTATAATCAGACGAGGCGAGACTCACTCCCATCATCATCTCGGCTTGCTTCTGCATTAGAGTCTCATTGACCATGTTGGCAATCCAGTTTTGGATATTGGTGATGTTTACCATGGGCTCACCATTAGGGCCACAATGACCGCAGCAGGAGGTGCAGTAGGCTCTTGGGGAACAGGTGGCTGTGATCGGTTGCTACGACCTGAAAGGGCAGAAGACCTTCCACTCAGGACAGACATGATGATGATGAAGAAGTGACATGTGGCCAAGTATGGTGACCCATTCTCGGAATTAGTGCTCTGCATTTATCCCATCCAAAGTGCACACACACACCGTGAACACACACCCGGAGCAGTGGACAGCCATTTATGCTGCGGCGCCCGGGGAGCAGTTGGGGGTTCGGTGCCTTGCTCAAGGGCACCTCAGTCGGGGTTTTGAAGGTGGGAGAGAGCGCTGTACATTCACTCCCCCCACCTACAATCCCTGCCGGTACGAGACTCGAACCCACAACCTTGGGTTACGAGTCCTACTCTCTAACCATTAGGCCACGACTTCCCCATTGCGAGTGTAGTATATCTCACAATTCTGAGAAAAAGAGTCAGAATTGTGACAAAAGTCGCTAAAACCTTTTTTTATTTTTTATTCAGTGGAGGAAACGGGCGTCCATACGTTTCAGATGAACGCTCCAACTTCACTTCAGCATCAGGCGTGAGTCAAACAAGCACGTAAACGGTACTGTGCTCGCAGCTCGTGCTCTTCAATTGCACTCACAAAGGCGCCGGCGCGCTGTAGTATCATTTCACATCCAAACGTGAAATAAACTATGTGCATGCAAAGTACCATCAACTTCAGCGAATCCCTAATTTATCTGCATATAGACGGATCCGATGATAGTCGCGGCTTTCAAATGCTCCCATGTGCTTCTGTGTGAGCACTTGGTGAAGAGCGTGATCACTGAAGCGATGATCATTGAAGCCAATTACAGTCATATCTGTTGAGCGCAAGAACACAATGACCAATCAGCGCTGAATCTGCTCAACAGCGCTCAAATCTTGGAGATGGATGTTTTTAAAATTTCAGTACCAAATGGTATCGCGGTCAGTACTTTTGACAACACTACCTTGTTTAACAGTGTGAAATGCTTCATTCTGACAGTTGTTGTTTAATACTGACCAGCATGTCAAGTGCTGCCGGGAGCGTGATGGTTGAAGCCCTGGGCTGCTTACAGGAACACTGCAGGTCCAATCCATTATTTCATCCCTGAACAACTTAACAAGACATTAAAATACAAAATTAGACACAGTCAAACAGCAACTATGCTGTAAATTGTGTGGATAACAATCAATAGTTAATTATAAAGCACCAAATAAACAGTTCAAAGTCTATTTTACAGTCTGTCTGTTGCAAGAATATTGATTTGAGTATAAGATGTGCAGCTGAATTTATTAGAATTGCACAATGAGTAACAATAAATGGTCATACTGTATATAAATTTAGTAAATATAATTTACTACTTTTACTACTTTTACTTTTACAAATACTACTTTTAGATTACTTTTAGATTTCTTTTGACCTGACGTGTTTACCACATTGATTTACCAACGATATCATTTTGATATAAAAATACAAAGAGTAAGAAAATATATTCCATTCGTTGTAATTAACAAAATGAAGTGCATTAAACATTACATTACGTCAGGTTTACCAAACTGGGCTCGGGAAGGAACTGCATGGGGTTTGTGAGTTTAATGAAAAGCTGATAATTAATTCATTAAGTCATAAAAATGTAAAATGAAAATAAATAATCTTAAAATAACATCAATCATAATAAAACACTCACAAAAAAAGAAATATTTGTTTACCTGCATGTTATGTGACCATTAACCAGCGACAGAGAACTGTGAACATGCAGATGTGATACCTAATTATTAAAATATTTATTTTAAAATCTCAAGGGTACTTCAAGTAAATATATTAGGTGAAAAGGATCAGATGACAACTTGTGCATTTTAATGTGTTTGAAATACAAAAGTCTTTCAAAGACACAGTAATACATGGTTAAATAAACTTGTTTGATAATCCAGATAAAAATTTATGTGTTCATCAGTAGTTGATGCAATTTTGAGACACTTCTTAAACCTGATTTTTTGTGAATCCAGTGGTCAAATGCTGTGTAGTCACCTGATCTCTGTGTGAATGTCCACGAAACTGGATGACTTTCTGAGTGTATATAAGAGGTAGACGATTTCAGAAAGGAACATTTAAAAGATGAAAAAGAGGAATTAGGGAGAATCAATAAATTATGAATAATTGATTGCTATTGTGTGAATTATATGTAATCGTGTAATCAATAAAAAAGTAACTGTAGTTTGATTACGATTATTTTAAAATGTAATTTAATCCAATTTCAAGTATTTTAATTTTGGAATCTGATTACATAATTGAGTTACTGAAAGATAATCAGTAACTCAATTATGTAATCAGATTCCAAAATTAA